CTTTCCATGCATACAAACACAATTTGTATTACACAAGAATTCATGGCTTAGTTTCTTCCTTTTTCTCCACTTCCTCAGTAGCCATCTTCTTGGAACAACAAGCACTGCACCGTCCAAAAGCGTAGCTACCACAACATCCGTACCTACAACCACCACGGCCCCGCTGCTGAGGCTCAACCGCNACAACAAGCACTGCACCGTCCAAAAGCGTAGCTACCACAACATCCGTACCTACAACCACCACGGCCCCGCTGCTGAGGCTCAACCGCCTCCACGGCTTCGACCACGGCCTGGGCCTGACTGAGGCTACAACAAGCACTGCACCGTCCAAAAGCGTAGCTACCACAACATCCGTACCTACAACCACCACGGCCACGCTGCTGAGGTTCAACATCGTTGGCCTCAACAGCCTGAGTCTCCACGGCCTGGGGTCGGCTGCAGCAAGCGCTGCACCGTCCAAAAGCATAGGCTCCGCAACAACCGTACCTACAACCGCCACGTTGTTGTGGCTCTATGGCATCCGTCGCTTCACTTGGCTTCACGTCATCATTAGCTACACCTGTGTGATTTATAAGTTATTTACGTCAGGCTATGTACTAAACATTCAATCATCACTTATGTGAAACTATAAAGGAATCTTATAAATATAGAGTTTTATACCATGTATAGCGACATCGTTGGATGTCTCGGCAAAGACACCGAGAGAGAAGGAGAAAAGCAAACCCAAGAGAGCGAGAGACTTGAGGCTTCCCATGTTTTGTATTCGTTACTTTAGCTTGTTCGGTTTGTTGTGAGGGAAGATGTTTGCTGGTAGTGAAGAGTGTCTACCCACAGCACATCTATTTATAGTTGGGCGGCAAAACATGGCGACAAGAGACCGGTCAATTATGTCGAGTAAGGGAAGATAATTACATATTTTATGGAGGAAAACAAATTCTTTTTTTATTGTATAAATAAATCAATAAGCACATTTATCAAATTCAACAACACTCGAAGGAGATAGATAGATGAGCTGAAGAAGAGTTTGTTATGAAACAGATATTTTCTCATTAAAGTAGTAAACTGTACAATGTCTCATATTTATACATAAGCGGTTTATAGTAAATCAACTAAACCAGTGGTTAGCTAAAAAAAACTAACCAAAGTCTAATACATTAGATATATGACTCATGATAACATTCGTTCTGATTGGTTCCCTCCGGCTAATATTTGGCCATCTTCTGCTTCAGCACACGAGCATAGAGTCAATTTAGTCAAAACATTGTTTTAATCCTTTGATTCGTTCATCCTTTACTGTATGATGTAAACCAAGGTTTTCATTTGAATAATTTAACATTCAGTTAAAAAGAATAGCCTCGACAGACGTAACCATATATTACAAAAAATCATCTACAGTAGTAATTAGATGGTAGAAACTGATTGACAAATTGTATGAAGTTTATGATGCGTTTTCTACGGTTAATTTATTCGCCTAATTATATTTTAGTTTTATATGATGGCTCGAGCGATATATATATATATATATATATATATATATATATATATATATTTGTATTTTCCACCAACTTGTGATATTGTGAACACAACACCGTGTCTCTAAATAAAAGATTAAAGATCATTTTTTTTTCCTGTAATAATAAATCAGACTTTGCGGATAAATTGATATGTAAATTTTCATTTATAAAAAAAAATATAAAACTAATAAAACTAATAAGTTTTTGAAATGACTTCCAAAAGAGAGAAGTCAGGACTAAAGAGATTGCACAATAAGATATTAATACTAGCAGGGTATTTGCACATAAATAAGATTGTGTTACGCATATAGTCGAAAAATCGACAGTAACTGCAAATATAATTATCATCTATCTCTTGGTCACTAAACAGTACACACCAGTCAACAATTATACAATGATATTTTCTTCTCAAGCAGCAATTCTTTAGCTAGATACATTCCAAAACTACATACACTTATATTATCGTATTTTTAATAGATATAAGAGAATAAATATTCACTCTCTACTGTAACTTCTCAAAAGTATTTCATATTATACAATTATTCAACAGTATAGAGCAGTAATAATTAAATCCCATAAATTAATACGTGTATTTACTATTCTTATATTAATAATATACAAGAACTAAATATTTTACTGTCAAACAACATTAAATAGAGTATGACACTTATTAGTTAGTAATGAACAAAATGAGGGTAAAAGGCAGTCATGGATCTCTTTTTCCTTTAAAGTAAGGTTAACCAAACCAATTGTATCATAATCTGAGCAAAAAATATCGGACCAGAATCGAATTAAACGGGCATTATTAAACTATATATCTATCAATACCCGCCCTTGCTCTGGCCAAAAACCCATGATAGAGGTTGAACGTTGAAAGCCATTACATGTATCAAAACTCAAAAGGTCTGACAGCTACACTATTATATGTGGTTCCATGTGTAAATGACATGCTCTATGCATGACGTGTGGTGTTTACACGTTATAAGATAAATGATACAAAGTCTAACTGTTAGACTTGAGAACACACCGTTCGAAAGGATAATGTCCACCTATACATTCCAAGGCAGGGATAGAATCCCAATTCGAACTCTTCCTCTGTTTGTAAAATTAATAGAATTTTTAATAAATTAAGAAATATTAAGTGTGAAGCGGAATAAAATGAATCATTTTGGTGCCATCACCATGTGGTTAAATAACACGTGATCAGTTAGGATCGGATATTACTCTATTTCAATCATAGTTAGGTTAGTACTATTTTTAACTGACTGGGCTCTCGTCCGATCGAAGTGCAATTCAGCATATGTCAAACCAAACCAACCAAACAATCGACTAATAAAGACACGCCATATTCCATTATAAGCGTTACTACGTTATAGATACTGAGCTAAATGATCCCAAGAGATGCAAACAAAAGAAGAGTTGGAACTTCAACGTATTTGTTTGCAGATTCTGGGGATTACTAAAGCCATTCCATATTAACTTTATAGCCAACTAAATTTGAAAATGTATAAAGTAATTATTTTAATTTTGATCTGCGAATCATGTGTGGTTCCAACCTAATTTTTTTTCCGTTCTTTTCCCAAAACAGATTACTAGATTTTGATTCGTGCTTTTAAAATATGAGAAACTTTTTTGATGAAAACTCAATATAATCACAATTTATCTTTAATCCGAAGTCTAAATCGAACCCAAAACTAAAATACTTGATTCGTATCCGGTTCAAAATATAAGAAATAGCAGAGTGGGTATTATAGGGTAATACAAACATATTCGAACCCAAAATGTTATTAACTGTACGGGTAATACGAAAACCAAAAACCCCAAAAAAACTGAAAATCGTTCCTAATGTCCAAATTAACCACAAATACATAAATATCTTAAACATCCAATTTTATATAAATAAGTATTTACTTCTTATGTTTTGCTTTTAAATTTTGGATACATCTGAACTGAACTAATATAACACGAATCCAAATGATATATGGTTAATTTATGAGTTTAGGATATGATACAAATTAGATATATCTGAACATGATCCGTACTTATTATAATATGATTTCTTTTATTTATTTATTATATTTTAAAATTTTATGTATTTTATTATAATATTAATTAAACATTTGTTATACAAATTAATTATATGGTGTTCAATCCGTCTCATATTTGATAAATGTTTATATTTTTATGAAGTAAACTGCAGAAAATTTGCAAATCATTATATATAATTCAATATACCATATAATCAAATAATATTAATGTCAACTAAATTAAGTATTGTATTTTATATATTAATTATATTTTATTATTCTAATTTAGATATTATATTAAAATAGAAAATTAATTATTATTTTGAATATTTTAATATTTTGTATTAATAAGTTGATGTATGTTGTAAATCGTATGAATATATGTTACTATGTATATGTAATTATTTTAGTTTATAATTTATAAACAGTTAGTAAATATATTAAGTTAATATATATATATTATTTAATTTAACCATTTGATTATGAATATGAATTATGTATATATAAATATTATAGAAATGTTATTTCTTATTCTATAAATAAAAATAAATTAATACTCATTTGTAATAAAATCTAAAAATAATTGTAATTTTTTGTTATTTAAATAAATATTAAAAACAATAAATATCTATTTTTTAAGTTAAAAGATATTTCTTAAATGCAATATTAGAAAAATATTTAATAATATAATTTGATATTTCTTTGAAAGTATTTAAATAATATGTTAAGATTGTATGTATATTTAATAATAACTAAGTTTGTTATATGCAAAATAATAAAAATTAAATAAAAAGAAATAATTTAATCTAGACTATTTATAAGTAGATAAAACTTATTTCTGTTTTAATATTTTTAATTTTTTAAATTCCGTGAATAGCTGGGGCATTGAAGAATATCCAAAAAATTATATAGGTAATCAGTATTTTCATTTCTTTTGATACATATGTAGTATTAACATATTCGAGATAGAGAGGATTTTATACGTTGGAAAATGCCACCATGTAAGAAGGAAGTTGTGGTTTCATCGGCACAGGCTAAAAAGTGTTCATTTGAGAATGTATTGAGAGGGTACAAGAAAATTGGTTGGTTCTTGTTGATGCTTCATCTTCAAAGTTTCAAGGAGAGAGTCTCTATTACACTTGGCATCTTCAGATGGATATCTAAGTGATAGGTTGTTGTACTTGTACGCGAAATGTGGAAACTTAAATTACATATGTGATTTTCTCTATATCTCGTTAAAACTCGAATTTAGGAATATTATGAGTCCCCTGCCTACGCAAGAAGCTTTGTTTTTGTACAATAATGTTATATTTGTCAATATAAAGGCTTGTCACTGAGTTCAAGAGTTTATTGTAGTCTGTGCAGTCCGTAGCTATAAGTACCAAAGGAGTCTAACTGATTACAAAGCTTCTTATTTTGGGTAGCATTTGCTTAGAGTTGTATACAGTAATAGTATATCTCAGTCATAACATTTGGAGATATATGTAATATGTGAGAATTTGCAAATAAATGCTCCCATTGCACTTATTGTAAGTCGGTCCTGATGGTTGGTGAGTTAAGAGTTTTTGAAGTACTGTACATGTTATATGTAATCCTTGATTATCCATAGATCTTGTAATTTTTCTTGTCAACAGATCTTGTAGTTTATTATAAATTTATAATCAAATTAGACTTCGATCATCACTATAACTTTATACTTTTAAAAAAGTGTTCTGAAGTAATTTTGGCAACTTTTAATGTTCAAGTTTCCTAATTATTTGAGAAACCACACAAATTTTCTAGAATGAAATAGTATAAGAACTAAGAGCATGTCCATTGGTAAGAGACTATTAAGGGTTCTAAATTCTAATGATTAATTTAGTAGTTAATTTTGTGATTTGAAAAGTTAAAAACTTTTATTAATGTAATTACATTTATCCTCCTCCAATGGAAGAACTTCACTTAGGTTTGTAATTTTTTTTTTTTTTTAAAAATGAAATGATTGGATTTTATAAAATGAAAGAAAAACATAACATAAAATTTAAATAAAAATGACATAAAAGTATATTAAACTGAAACAGACTCAGACATTACAATGAAACAGAAACAACAATGAAATCTGTTTAGTAACCCTCTTCGTGATATTAGTTTAATAAAAAGACAACAATGAAGTCTGTTTAGTATAAAATTCCAGCTAAGATCATCTGCAGTTCTGCACGACTCGTCTCTCTACTCGTAACAAACTAATTTTCATGGTGTATTCAGAGCAGTGTTGAAGCATTTGGGTTAATGAAAGAAGTAACAACTTAGTTACCCCATACATTGTCCCAACCGTCGCCACCACCTGGTGCAGCAGCTTTAGTCCCCTCCTCGCAGTTCTAGTTTCCTTCGGGCTGGTGAACCAAAGCGAGTCCATTAGGTCCTTGTGGCTGCTGCTGCTACATTTTTCTAGGATTTGCTTTCACCCCTAGCAAACACAATACAAATCTTGCTAATTCTCCATATAACATACCACCACGATCACATAGCTGAAAGGAAAAAAAAAGGGTTGACCCTTGGACATGAAAACATTCGAGGAACGTTAATGCAAAGAAAAAAAAAAGGAAGGAACCTGAAGAAGGTGTTTTTCTAGGACGTGTGTTTTGGTCTATCAGCATGGCCACACGGCCAAAGAAATCCACAGCACCTTGCAGCTAACATCAAGCAAAACACAAACACTTTAATATTACAAACTTATTAACTTCTTTGGTTTCTTAAACATTACAAACATGAAGGGGATGAACAATTCCACACGGAGAAAAGATATCCAGAAGCCTGGTGGAGAAGGAGGTTGATTAAAAGGTTCTTTTGGATCTTGACCACCATAAGGACTCATCCCCATCCCATTCCCATACCATAACCAGTTAACCACCCCCAAAACTTCTGTTGTACATCCCACCACCACCATGCATACCTGAACTTCCATAGAGACCACCACCACCATAAACTCCTCTATTATATACGCCACCACCACCATACATTCCACCCCATATAATGAACCATACGTACCTACATTACATAACACGCAACAAAAGAAGTAAGTTTATCTACTCTCAGTAACAAAAAACAAAAAAAACATCTAAAACATACTTCCATAGGACTGCTGCAACCAAGGTCTAGTAGGTACAGGCCTACTCAAATGTGCATTCATGTTAGTAGCTGTATGAGTTCTATTAGTATTAGCAGACGTAACTGGTTCACCAGGATTAGCTGTGCCAGAAGCCTCAACAGAATCAGCAGTGCTCGTATTTGAAGGAGGCCTGAAAGGCTTAGGACCAGACATATTGTTGTTTACTTCTCGTTCCCAAGGTTTAGGAGGTCTTCCACCTAACAACAGGATCAGCAAATTCAAGTTTTGAGTGTATTTGGGGTCGGATGTGAGTTGAGATCTTTGTAAAATTTCCCAAGTTGATAATAAAAGATCTGTAGCAGGTCCGGAGACATAGGCACGATTGGCCGAACTCCGTTAACAATTTTGTGTGTGTTTTTTCGCTCCCATAAATTCTAGTTTCAGGCAAATATTTGACTCGTATTTCCTAACAACTACCAAGTTTGGGATAATGAACATTAGTTTCAAATAAAACAACATATGCTACAACAACAAAATCATACAAACACCACGAAACACATAATTATCACATGTCAATAGCCAATCCCAAACCTATAAAAATACAAATACTGACGAACTAAAGATCATATCAAAACACGGCAAAATCTTCAAATATACATTCAAATATTTATACATAGTAACAATTACATCACCAACCCCAAGCTTACGCAAATTTTAAATATTTAATATTGGCGTTCCAAAACCTTAAAAAGTCATACGACATGGAATAAGTTGGGCAAATTTTGTTTTGCTTGATTTTTAAATATTATTTTATGACATAAAAAGAACTGTAAATTGCATGTAGAGCCAAAATAATCTGTCTCATGGGAGAGATTTGAACAATTTCTCCCATATCTATCGTGGTAGTCTGGTAGAGCCAACATTTTGTGTGTCGTTGACTATGCATCACTATTTTATACCAGACATACCCAATAATTTCTCTAATAGCGGTTTTGTTTCAAAGTTATAAATTTTTATTTTCCATCGAGTGGCTCTGCAACATCATGCACACGAAGCCACAATGACAACCAGTTCTTATATCTCCTAAGGTTGTCTGGACATTGTGAAGAGATCAACCGTGGGACAACCCTGTGGAGAAAGAAGCCCTCCAGATAGACAATATCTAGGCCATTTTGATAACACCGTACGAGTCAAAGGACCAATCATTTTCACATAACCTCTTTGGTTATTTGATTAAACAAGTTACATGACTTATAACAGATTCTACCTATTACAAAATCTCATAAAAATCAAACAATGTGAGATAAATAAAAAGAAAACAGAGAATTGGTAAAAGAAAAACAAAGTCAAGATAACTTGAGAGTCCTATGTCAAAGTTTCTCAGTTAATCTAATTATGAAAGAGTTCACCGCAGACGCATCTAACATGATCCATAAAGACTCAGACAGCTCATGAAAATAATCAGCTCTACTCTCTTGAGCTGCTTTTCTTAATGCATTACCAAATGCATAATATATGTGATATATGTGCTCCAAAGCTTTGGAGAACATTTAGTCCAACGTTAATTTGTACTATGCTCAATAAGCAACGTGTCTTTCCCAAGTGAGTTATGATCTTCAGGGTATAGAAATGAAAGCAGTTCTATCAGAATTCTTGGAAATTAGTATATTGGGATACACAATATTTACGAACCCCGCGCTTGCGGTTGACAAACCCTAGTGATATTAGTAATGTATATTGAAGATATGTGAAGTTTATATTTCTGAATGAGTATGTGAAATTTAAATACAATCTAAGACTTAATAAGCTGCTACAACGATTAAATATAGAAGATATCTGAAGTTTATAGTTCTGAATGAGACCATTCTAATTAGTTTTTTTTTGTTATGTAAGAGCAAATAGAAGGAGAAAAAACAAGTCAAAAATAATTCCAGAAGTCTATGGTTATTTTTTTTTAGAAAACCCATTTGCAAGATTAACAATTTTACATATTTTAAGCACGAATAATTATTTCTTGAATTTCATATCTACTCCTTTTCTAAGAAATCACAGAAGAGACAAGTCTTCCTTATGTGTAGACAAGTCTCACAAGAAGACAATTCTTCGTTCCTTTTTTTTTTTCATTATTTCTTGTTACCTGGAAATACAAAATTCACAGGTTAGTTGTGTGCTTCAATACATGTAGTCGAGTCCACGACCATGAGAACGTTTCTTACCCCTAACTCGTCATCACAGAAAGACTTATTCAACCAATCAGCATCAACTCTCTATGAAAGTTTCTCCGCTGTCTCTTTATTGTTTACATAAGTAAATTAAAACTCTTTTATCCTGCGTAGATAGCTTTGTAAAACCAATGCAACTCTCTGATATATTCTCATGGCTTCTTCTTCGTCGTCTCCCATCCGGAGATACCATGTCTTTACGAGCTTCCACGGTCAAGACGTTCGTAGAGGATTTCTCAGTCATTTACACAATCACTTGGCAACCAAAGGGATCACAACGTTCAATGATCAGAAGATTGTAAGAGGCCACACAATCGGACCTGACCTCATACAAGCCATTAGGGAATCAAGGCTCTCAATCGTGTTGCTATCAGAGAACTACGCTTCTTCAAGCTGGTGTTTAGATGAATTGGTTGAAATCTTGAAATGCAGAGAAGATCATGGGAAGATGGTGATGACTATATTTTACCATGTTGATCCGTCCCATGTACGGAAACAGGGGGGAGAGTTCGGAAGAGCATTTAAGAAAACTTACGAAGGGAAATCAGAAGGGGAGAAGAAAAGATGGATCCAAGCTTTGGAGTCTGTTGCAAAAATTGCCCGAGAACACTCTTCAAAATGGTCTGAAGTTTTTTTTTTTGTATTTGAATGAAATATTGCTTTTATATTTCTTAAGAATGCTTTAGTGGTGGGGTGTTCTCTTTAAATTTAGACTCGCTGCATTCTTTTTAGGGAGGATGAAGCTAAGATGATTGAAAAGATTGCTGCTGATGTTTCAAACAAATTGAACGTTACACCATCAAATGATTTTGACGGGATGGTGGGAATGGAAGCTCACTTGAGAAAAATAAACTTTCATCTACGCTTGGCGTGTGATGACGTGAAGATTATTGGAATTCAGGGTCCTGCAGGAATTGGTAAGACCACCATTGCTAGAGCTTTATTCAAGCAGCTCTCTTCTGCTTTTCAACTTAAATGCTTTATGGGGAACCTCAAGGAAAGTTATGGAAGCTCTGGTATCCATGATTCGAAATTGTGTCTACAAAGCCAACTTCTATCCAATATTTTGAACCAAAAGGATATGAGCGTAGGTCATTCAGGTGCAATAAAGGAATGGCTACAACACCAAAAAGTCCTTATAGTTCTTGATGATGTCGATGATATTGAACAACTAGACGCCTTGGCTGAAAAACCATCTTGGTTTGGTTTAGGAAGCCGAATCATCGTTACCACAAAAGATAGAAATATATTGAAGGCGCACCGGATAAACCATATCTACCATGTAGGTTATCCATCCGAAGAAGCAGCTCTTGAGATATTGTGCCTATCTGCTTTCAAACAAAGTTATGTACAAGATGGTTTTGAAAAGGTTGCAAAGAAAGTAGCAAAGCTATGCGGTTATCTTCCATTAGGCCTTTGTGTTGTAGGCTCATCTTTGCGTGAGGAGAGTAAGCAAGAGTGGGAAGTTCAACTATCTAAGATCGAATCTAGTCTTGATAGAAAACTTGAAGACGTACTAAAAGTGGGATATGACAAACTGTTGAAGAAAGATCGATCTATATTTCTCCACATTGCACTTTTCTTCAATGATAGATCCGTTGATCATGTGAAGACCATGTTAGCTGACAGTAACTTGGATGTGAGTAACGGATTGGAGACCCTTTCCAATAAATCTCTCGTCTATGTATCAACCAATGGGTGGATAACGATGCATTGCTTACTTCGACGATTGGGGAGACAAATAGTTTATGAACAGTCTGAAGAGCCTGGGAAACGTCAATTTCTAGAAAATGCGGAAGAGATTCATGATGTGCTAAAAAATAATACCGTAAGTTTTTATCTT